AATGACATATAATGCCTGTCAGCTTTGACTGACCGGAGGCTGACGGCTTTGACTGAACAGGACCTGATGGCTTTGATGGGCCATTTTCAGGCCGTGGAGCATTCTTGGAACCACTATGCTCGTTAACACCTTTTTTTCCATAATCTGATTTATGTGTCAACACATAATCATCAGCCATTACAGCAGCTTCCTTTAAGGTTTCAACCCTGTGTTCACTTAAGTAAGTCTTGAGATCATCACGAACACACCTCTTAAACTCCTCAATTAGAATAGTTTGTCTCAATTTTTCAAAGTCATTCACCTTATTGGAGCTACACCACCTGTTAAACAACGTTTCTTTTTCATGTGCAAACTCAACAAATGTTTGAGTATCCTGTTTCCTATGACCCCTAAACTTTTGACGGTAAGCCTCTGGAACCAACTCGTAAGCTTTGAGGATAGCTGCCTTCACCACGTTGTAATCTAGGCATTGATCTGCAGACAGTGCAGTGTATGCTGTCTGAGCTTTACCTTTAAGCACACTTTGTAACAGGACTGCCCACTTACTAACAGGCCACTCAAGACTTCCAGCAACCTTCTCAAAGTAAAGAAAGTACTTATCCACCTCATTTTCATTAAATGGGGGTACCAGTCTGACATTCTTACTAAAATCAAATTTAGATTCAACAGTGGCGAATTTTGATTCAAGCTCTTTGAAGCGTTTATCTGCCTCAATTTTGTGTATTTCAATTTCTTTATTTGCCTCAATTCTACGCTTTTCAAGCTCAGCCTGGATCTCAGCTTGAGCAGCTTGAAGTTTAGCCTTCTCCAGCTGAATTTCCTCAAGACGAATTTGTTTATCTGCCTCAATTTTTTCTGCTGCCATGGATGAATCTAGAGTATCAGTATATTCGGAAAGACTTTCTTCAGGTAAAAGGCCTTCATCAACTAAACACTCTACAATTAATTTTGTGATTTCGTACTTCCTCATGGACCTTTTAACATCTATCTCCAACATTCGGGCAACCTCTAGTAATTCTAGCTTCTTAAATTTCTCCAACACCTGGAGGGAAGGTGCTATTAAAAACTCCTTCAGCTCAGCCATATTTTGCTATTTTGTAACTCACTAAACATATGCACAGTCTAATTTTGTTCTTGATCTATCCCGGACGAGCCCCCAATTTATGTTACGGTCCAACACGGCCCGCACATAAAAAAACACACAAACAACAGTGTATCAACTATGAAAATAATATTCTATGTCCATATCTGTTCAACTGCCTTTATCGAAGCGCCGTTTTCCACTTGAGGCTGAGATTCTGTGCTGCTGCCTTTCATAGTGAGTTAAGTTAGGCTTCAAATAGTCCAGGTCCTAAAATACAGTTTTTCCACTGTCAAAGTTCAAACTGTTCACACTCACGTGTTGTGTTCTCCAGTGTCTTAAATACAGTTTTCACTGTCAAAGTCCAGACTGTTCACACGCACATGCTGCGTTCTCCAGCATCTCAAATACAGTTTTTCACTGTCAAGGTCCAGACTGTTCACACGCACGTTTTGCGTTCACCAACATCCCGCACTCCAATCAGTCCCGCACTTAATAACGTCACAATGTAAAGGTCGCTGCAAAACAAATCCTTTTTTAATGTTAATAATTCTAAATATTTCATGAGTTTGTCTGCCGGCGGAGCTATGGGTTTTTTATTTTTTATTTATTTATTTTTTATTTATTTATTTATTTATTTATTTTTTTGCACCTTAGAGCCCATACTACAACAAGACTGAAGACGCCAGCGGTTTATTTCTGCTCTGGAGTGGAACGCTGAGGACAGCTCTCAATTGTACAGGATGTTGTACATCTTTGACCTTTACAATAGATGGCGCTGAGTGTTCAAACCCCTACCCCATTGACTATGCAGAGTACCACGCCAACAGGAAAGAGCTTCATCACCACGTGGAGTGTGAGCTAATTTCTTTTTATTTATACTTAAACACAATTTGTTTCTAGTTTACACGCGTTAAGATAATGTTTATTTTTTTATTATTTTTTTTTAAAAGACCCAATTTGGATATATGATCGAGTGACAAACTCACACAACATTGTAATTGTTACCTATTTTACCTAGTTTTTGGAATCTGCTACGGGATAGGCATGGGAAATAGAACTGTTGCCTTAGAATACAAAGACTGCGATGGATCATTTCATGATAGTCACATGGGTTGGAACGCCAGGTCACGTGTTATTATGGCAGAAGTGCCTGGAACCACGGGATCGGGTAAATGTTTTTTTTTTTGTACATGTGAAATTAGCTTTTTATATAGTTTACATGTAACGTTAGGTTTTTATTTTAAATCAGCAGCTTCTTGAACTCGGTTAGATTTTAACTGCTGTGATTATATAATGTTGCCAAATTACCTTTGCGGAGGGGAACGTACCTGTAAGTACATTGTACAAGATAATAATATAATTTCCAGAGGACAAATCTGTTTATTTTGGTTATATAAAAACATTGTATATCTACTCTACTTGAATAAATATATCTTATTTTACAAGGTAAAAAGTATTACACATTAAACCAAGTTTATTAAATCTTTCAGCCACGTGTGCGTCTCAAACGGCCTTCAATATTCAACAGTTTGCTACCCGTTTCCACACAAACACAAGTAATGAAAACATACATTCGGTACGTAACTGAACTTAAAGGTGGCTATCTCTTTGTCGTTGGACCCATCTTTTAGATGAGCACATGATATTGAGACATTGACCTAATTTTAGAATTTCTTGGAAACATGCAAAATATATTCGTAAAATTCACTTCAATAATGGTATCATATTTTTTGTGAGAATTCTTTGGTATGCGTTCCTCTGGCGCTTACATTTTGCCCCAGATCTGGAGAAACCAGGCGCTTTTGAAAACTGAAACCACCCTCAACAACATCCAACATTGTTAACAGCAAGAAAACGAAATCAAATTTGAAGCTGTTCTCATTTCCCATTTTAGATGTTCTCATCTCTTATCTTTAATGTGCATTTATCCGGTAATCGAACAATCACTCGTGGAAAAATACTGGCGANTCGGCTCCGTTCGCCATGCGGAAGCTACCTGAGAAATATTAAGTGCGCATGCTCATCAGTTAAACTCGTCGTGAAGAAAGCATGGCGGCTGAAGGCGATCGAAGGAAAAAATCTCTTCTGTTCTATTATCTTTCAAAACAGAGACGAAAAAGGAATGAATTGGCCCGTAGAGCAGCAATGAATAGACTATCTACGGAGATAATATCACCAGAGATATTCACGGAGATATTCATGTTCAGAGCCGAGATTCAATTACTGTACCCCGCAGGGACGACGTGTGGGGAGGCGTTGTAGTGATCCGTTAATTAGAACTGAGTCTTCTAAATTTGCATACATCAGATATGTATATATTTGTACGTTTTAATTATTCAAATATACTTAGACATGACATGTTGCATGGCAGTTTAAGAGAAGTTCATTTAAAATGCAAATCAAGATTTAATTTAAATGTATCTACAATTAAGTTAATGTACATAGGCATGGCATGTTTCATGACAGTTATGAAAGCTAATTTGAAATGCAAATTAAGATAGAGTATAAAGGCAGTGACTGAGCCACAGAGACATATAGACTTACAGACTGAGAGAGTTAGAGATAGTTATAGATACCACAGAGAGAGAGATGGTAGAAGAGACCTGAGTCTTCAGTTGGTTGAATAAATCATGTAGCAGTAAACAATTCCTGCCTGTCTCAGTTGTCTTATTGGTGAAAAAGTAACTCAAAGAACAAGTGTATAACCACCGACTGGTTATTACAAACGTGTGAGAGGCGGAGAGACTATTAAAAGATTAGGCGGTTTTTCTTTCATGTACGTCCGCCATTTTTAGTCTCAGGATTTGTAAAGCCTGGCTCAATTCGTTGAGAATGCGGTCTTAGAGGACATTAGTGACACCTAGTGAATTCTAGGACAGATAAAGAAATGTGCACAGTGTTAGAGGACATTAGTGACACCTAGTGAATTCTAGTACAGATAAGAAATGCACAGTGTTAGAGGACATTAAGTGACACCTAGTGAATTAGTGACACCTAGTGAATTCAGGACAGATAAAGAAATGTGCACAGTGTTAGAGGACATTAAGTGACACCTAGTGAATTAGTGACACCTAGTGAATTCTAGTACAGATAAAGAAATGTGCACAGTGTTAGAGGACATTATAGTGACACCTAGTGAATTAGTCTAGTACAGAAAGTAGTCAATGTTCCCAAAGGACAGATGGCTCCCATTTTTTTCATTTCTGTAATATTACTTGAAATATTAAAATAGATTTATCCTTTTCTCATCTGATAACAATATTTGATGCACAGATATCTCTTTTCCTTCCTCATCCAGTTTTTGATTTGTTTCCACAAGTTTCCAGGACATCACAATTGAGTAAATGCTAAATTGCTTTCATTTTTGTTTCACATAAGTCATATTCTGGATTGTCAGAAATTTTATATTTGAACAATAATTGCTTTGTGTTGTAGAATGCTATGAATACATCTTATGTTGGACCACTTAAGATTTGACTCGTTTTATTGGTCAGGAGCTAGGTGCTTATAGCTGCAATGTCATGTTATTGCTTGATTTAAGGACTCTTCTATTTCATTTCATTTCTTTAAGTTTTATATATAATTTTAGATAATAATTTAATAAATTTCCCTATGGCCTCTTTTGTTTTTCCGTATAACCATAAATGATTTTTTTATATAACTGAGTTTCTGGCCCCATATTTTAATCAGTCACCTTAGCTATTATATCTGCATGATATGCATATAATTTGATATAAACATACCTAGGGATGATACATGCATGTGACTGTAGCAATATGTTTTTTTTTCTCGTGTGTGTGTTTGTGTGTGTGAAATGGGAGTAATTTCTCTTGGTATGTATGTCAAATAATACACTGCCACCCTCTTGCAGTACATGCCTAGAACACCACTTGAAGTGTTTAGAAAAGAAAAAAATATGTCATTCTGGTAATGGTGCATGATCTCACACTTAACATGTGCCCTGCCTGAACAAACAGTATCTCATGACTTGCTTCACCTTGATTCTGGTTGAAAGTAATCATGGTATGAAGGTTATTTAATTCTCTGAAATTAATTCTAAGAAAAATCTTTGTTAAAATTAAGCAGTGCAATACATTCATTATTTCTTCAGGAGACCCAAGCCAGCCCCTGTTACCATGGAGATGGAAAAGTTGGCCAATGAGCTGCCTTTGGAATTTGACTGGCGAAACGTTCAAGGAGTGAATTATGTTTCCCCAGTTAGGAATCAGGGTATGTCTTTATGGAATAACAAAATTGTTGGACCCATTCCACACTGTTGAATAACAAAATTGTAGAGCCCATTCCACACTACTGTATAACAATATTGCAGTGTCCATTTCACAACAATGAAGTACAAAAATATAGTAGTAGAGCCCATTCCATAGAATGGAATGACAACATGTGTAGGGTCCATTACACTGTACTGTAAGACTAGATACAATAAACTGGATGAAAAATGCAGTCTCCATGAAAGCCTTGTGTATGTTTTGCTGAAGAAAATATCTGATTCATTTTTTAAACTTTATTTTAGGGTCTTGTGGAAGCTGCTATGCATTTTCTTCCATGGCAATGCATGAAGCCAGAATTCGTATAATGACCAACAACTCGGACCAGGTCATCCTTTCCCCTCAAGATGTGGTAGAGTGCAGTTCTTACGCACAAGGTACATTTCTGTTTTTCAATACTTTAAGACAGACCACCTCCATTAGACCTTATTACTTACCCCCATTATAAAAAAAACCTGGAAACAATTTTCCTATGATCACCAAGGGATACCCTATCTGAAACTGGTGAACTTTGCTTTTTTAGACCTAAAACAAACTGCATTCCTTTTAAAAACATTTATGTTATATGCATGCAAACACATAATGGTGAAAGTTTTTAAAACATATTCATTAGAGACTAATATTTTGATCTTAATGAGCTCTATACTTTATTCTGATATCAGGTAAGTTTTGACATGCCAATATGTACTGTTTGTTTTAAAATGTCTTATAGGCTTTATTTGTTGCCTAGTTTGAATGGATATTTGTGTAAAGAATCAAAAAATACCCTGAAACACAAATATTATCAAACTTTTGCTTAAAACCTACCCAAAACAAAAGATTAATCATGTTGAAGTATTCATTCATAATACAGTTTATATTCACCCAAAAACAAAATGTTATACCTTGATATGAGCACGGGATCATCCAGAGGATTTTGGTGTGTTTTAGCCTTTAATTTCTACAGTATATCAGTTAAGCTAATGAATAGGCCAGACAGAATGATATCCTTATTACATGTTATTATATATTGTATTTAAATCATAAGATTCCAAAAATATAAAAGAAGTATTTTGATTGAGTGCTTGTTACAGATTTCATAACAAAATTCAATTTTTGTAAGGAATTCAAATTGTCTCCCATGTGTTTTGTTGCCTCTCTTTTGAGGAAATAGAACTGTCAGTCAAAACATGGAAGTTAAAGTTTAAAATGTAATGTAGGCCAATTTTGCCCAGTCAGAAGGGTTTTTCTCATGCATTAACTTCCTACAATTTGAAATGCATTTTGCAATAACATTTTTTGGGGGAGATTCCCTTGGAGCAACATTTATCACAAAAAATACAAAAAATACAACAAAAAATACACAAAATAAATGTTGTTTTAAGCGAAGTCCGATGGATTTTCCTTATAATGCATACAGTCAATGAAACATATCCAGTGAATTTTCTCAAACACCACCAGAAAGCAAATCAAATCAAATCAACCAAATGGTAAACACTGAAAGGCATTGTCAATTTCACCATTAATTTTTAATGCACTTTTCATGCACGTGCAGACATTTGACACTTGATTTTCTTTAATTCAAATAAGAGCTAATATCATGATTTAAAGACTGTAGTTTATATCACTTTTGACATTTTTTTCCATTATGCCCAATTCAACTTTTAATTAAAATTCATAGTACTGTATTTTTTCCTTTTATTTAAGGATGCATATGAAGTTAACGTGGCATATTAAAACCACAGGTAATGATTATATATTAAACAACACACTATAATTTGAAACAAGCCTTCCCTTATGCCTTCCTGTATTCATGACAAATAAAATAAAATGTCCAAATGAAACTAATGTGTTTCCCACCCCCAGGCTGTGAGGGTGGCTTCCCCTACCTGATAGCAGGCAAGTATGCAGAGGACTTTGGACTGACTCCAGAAACTTGCAATCCTTACAAAGGGTTTGACCATGATTGCTCCACCAACAGAAGCCAATCTTGTGTCAGGAGATATGGCACACATTATCAGTATGTGGGAGGGTTTTATGGAGGGTAAGTTACTTTTTATTAATCCATAATTAAACCAAATGGAGCTATTCAAATTACTGTCTGTTTTGTTTGCGGAGATACAGCACGCATTATTAAGATGTAAAAAGTCTTTATTTTGTTAATCCATGATTAAACAAGCAGCTGCATCACTTGTATGTAGAGATGGTGAAGCAATTACAGATTTAGTGCTGTACCTACAAGTGTTTCCTGCAAGGGTATAGATACAGGCCCCATTCTTCTTCACAAATTTTGGTGTTCTTTTATTGATCACATATGTAACAGACTAAAAGAAACTGTAAGCATGTGCACAATGTAAACTTATGGGGTACCTGTCTAAAATTGCATGCCTGCTATTCCTTATTTCACAGGTGTAATGAAGCATTGATGAAGATAGAGCTTGTCAAAAATGGCCCTATGTCTGTATCCTTTGAAGTCTACTCTGACTTCCAGCACTATCAAAGTGGTGTGTACCACCACACAGGACTCCAGAGCAGTTTTAACCCCTTTGAACTGACCAACCACGCTGTGCTGCTGGTCGGCTACGGCTATGACAAAGACTCTGGAGAAAAGTTCTGGTCCGTCAAGAACAGCTGGGGAACCAAGTGGGGGGAGGAGGGCTTCTTCCGCATACGCAGAGGCACGGATGAGTGCGCCATTGAGAGCATAGCAGTTGCAACATCACCCATCTTTTGAGAGAGGAAATGTCAACTTAGTCTACAACAGCACATTGGAATGAATCCAATTATATTTGATTACAAATATTTTTTTATGGAGCCCAACTGCCTCAACTTAATTGAATTAGATCAAAACTGATTTTCATTGTTTCAGTAAACAGAATTTTCATTTTGATGTCATGAACGTGTTAGGTGAGATCTATTAGCATCCATCCTTGTGAGGTTACAGTTATGATTGTGTTAGGTGAGATCTATTTGCATCCATCCTTGTGAGGTAACTGTTATGATTGTGTTAGGTGAGATCTAGTAGCATCCATCCTTGTGAGGTTACTGTTATGGTTGTGTTAGGTGAGATCGATTAGCATCCATCCTTGTGAGGTTACTGTTATGATTGTGTGAGGTGAGATCGATTAGTAGCCATCCTTGTGAGGTTTCTGTTATGATTGTGTTAGGTGAGATCGATTAGTAGCCATCCTTGTGAGGTTACTGTTATGATTGTGTGAGGTGAGATTGATTAGTAGCCATCCTTGTGAGGTTACTGTTATGATTGTGTGAGGTGAGATTGATTAGTAGCCATCCTTGTGAGGTTACTGTTATGATTGTGTGAGGTGAGATTGATTAGTATTCATCTTTGTGAGGTTATTATTTATTAAGCTACCTCCAGTCAGTCTCAGTGAACAAGTCCTTCCAATTTATACATATTTTACTAAAGACATTCTACTAGTGTTCTTGTTATTATAAATAATTGACCAAGATATGCACATTCTGAAATTCACCAAATATGTGTTCTTCTGAATTTTTGTTTTATGTTTAAAATATTTGTCAGGACAAATTCACCACCTTCAAGACATTGAATGGAATAGTTCTTGGGGTTTTGTTACATAAGGTTTGGTATTTGTGTGTCAGATTATAAATATTTTTGGACAAACATGATATAACAGGACTAAAAAAGGCATTTGTTTTCACATTTAGGATACTTGGATTATTTAATCAGCAAGCTCCATCCACAGTTTTGTATCCAGTATATTTTTTCTTTTGGCAAAATCAGACCTTCTTCCCGTTTTCAGTGCAATGTCATGTAGTCGGTGCACACAATACAAAGTATGTAATCTGATATTATTTAAAATACTTGGTAGCTGCTAAAAGATCTAATGAAAATTTTTGATGTATTTCAATTTTAATAATTTTAATACATTTTTCAGGTAGTATCAAGATTTGACAATTTGAATGCACTAGCTTTTTGTTGTAATTTAATTGATTTGATGCTAACACGCTTCTTTAATTCATGCAAAGTTGACAAATGGTCCATTTTTTGTCATAAAAACTATAAACAACTTGTATGTAATCAAAAGAATAAATAAGAATAATTGATAAAAAACGATTGAACTTATTTATGTCATTTATTCTTATATATTTTTATATTCTGTATTCAACAAAAAGTACTATGTAAATATCCCCATGATCATAGCCAAGCACCATCCCAATGTGAGAGTGGACTTGATGCAGCATTCTTTTACAACTTCATCCTGGGATGTGTGGCTCTCACTGCCAACTTTGCCTAGAATTAAGACCATGGTCATGTCACCACTGGTGTTGCTCTCACTGCCAACTTTGCCTAGAACTAAGACCATGGTCATGTCACCACTGGTGTTGCTCTCACTGCCAACTTTGCCTAGAACTAAGACCATGGCCATGTCACCACTGGTGTTGCTCTCACTGCCAACTTTGCCTAGAACCAAGACCATGGCCATGTCACCACTGGTGTTGAGAAGTGGTGCAGGAATGAGGTTGCACACTTATTGATACTACTTATAGACAGGCACACACATGCAGGACGAGAGAGAGGAATAGAAAATATAACATTATTTTCTTGTTAAAAGAAGTAGATTAGTATCCACCAGAAAGACATCAGTTCTGAGTAAAAGTGTTCCTTCACGTGACTATTTCTTGTTAAATTGGCAGCCGTGTGTCCATGTAAGCAGCTGGCAATTCCAGACCTCTGTGGTATGGAGTCCATGTTGGCACCAGTGAACCCTGGCACTGTGGCAGTAGTCATGTGCTGAGGAGCCATCTGATACTTAAGGCTGTCCAGTAGTTCTAAAAGTGAATTCTGGTCATTTTCATGACATTTTAGTTTCATTTTTGTCTCTGACCAGGGATGTTCTCATGTTCCCTGATCTTAGCATCATGGGTGGTCTCTTAGGGACTTAAGTACTCACTACGCCAAGGTGCCCCCACATAAGCCATGCCATACAAACTCAATGTACTGGATCACAGGATAGTATTCTGTTGGGAGTCATGTAATACAATCTAATGGGTCTCCACGCCACATACTGAGATGAACACAGACAATCGTTTAACCTCTAATAGCGGGTCCACTTTCTATTCAGTTTGGTAGATTGAGGTCATCGGCCAAGTCTAACCTGCGGAATTTGTCCACATTGTAAAATCCACCTTTAACGATCCTTCCTCCAAAGTAGCGCCCATTCAGGTCAACCACAGCTAAAACAGAGAGAAGACTTTCACTGTACTGAAAGCTACAGTACTGTAACATCTATACCAATTATTTATTACCAGGCAAACTACTTCACTGAACAGAAAGCTACAGATATAACAATTACTTAGTACCAGGCAGGCACATTGATTTGTTGTATTTCTAAAATGTGGAACATCAGCTGTAAGAGATAATCATGGATTAAAGCAAAATAAAACTGGTTTATATAAACACACACACACACACATTCTATATTTCCACCTTTAAATCAGTACCTTTAATGGCAGACTCCATCCTCTCAAACTCTACAAATATTCTAACTGCCTCATCCTCTGATGCTCCAGGCATCTAAAACAGAAAGAAATTAAAAAAATATTTTCATGCTACTAAATAATTAAGATAATAATAAAAAAAACTACTGAAACCAAGTGTAAAACTAAATTGACTTTGCCATAAAAAAGAAGCATTTAGGTAAGAAACTGGTTTTTAGCCCAAGGAAAGTGTGAATTTAATAAATTATTGTTGCTTTGTTGCCATGAGCCCAAAAACTAGTACCTCAAAGATGACACATTTGATCACTTTCCCATACTTCCCACACTCGTCTGCAGTCTCAGGCTCCAGCTCCTCGTCTACCTCTCCTGGGCCCACCATGTTCTGCAACAACAAAAACAACAGTCACTTCTCCATGTACACCTACCATGACACTTCTCCATGAACAACTACCATGACACTTCTCCATGAACAGTTACCATGACACTTCTCCATGTACAACTACCATGACACTTCTCTGACACTTACCACTCACCTAACAGTTACCATGACACTTCTCCATGAACAGTTACCATGACATTTCCATTCCCGTGGCCACCACTTTGACAGAGACTGTCACAACTACAAATGTTTATTACTGACCTGTGTTACTCTTCACTACCATAAACTTTGACAGAGACTGTCACAAGTACAAAATGTTTATTACTGGCCTGTGTTA